GATAAGTATTGTTTAAATCTGGCTTTGTCTTGGAATGTCTTGTTCACTCCGTCTATGATGATTGAAAGTTTTGCTGGGTATATTAGTCTAGGCTGGCATCCATGGTCTCTTAGTGTCTGCATTACATCTCTAGGTCCTTCTGGCTTTCAAAGTCTCCATTGAGAAATCGGGTGTTATTCTGATGGGTTTGCCTTAATAAGTCACTTGGCCTTTTTCCTTTGCTGCTCTTAATATTCTTTCTTTATTCTGTACATTTAGTTGTTTAATTATTATGTGGCGAGGGGACTTTTTGGGGGGGGGTTGTCTAGCCTGTTTGGTGTTCTATAGGCTTCTTGTATCTTCATAGGCATTTCCTTCTTTAAGTTGGGAAAGTTTTCTTCTATGATCTTGTTGAATATATTTTCTGTGCCTTTGAATTGGTATTCTTCTCCTTCCTCTATCCCTGTTATTCGTAGGTTTCGTCTTTTCATGGTGTCCCACATTTCTTGGACATTTTGGGTCATGACTTTGTTGGCTTTAGTGTTTTCTTTGACTGATGAATCTATTTCTTGTACCGTATCTTCAACGCCAGAGATCCTCTCTTCCATCTCTTGCATTCTGTTGGTTATACTTGCATCTGAAGTTCCCATTCGTTCGTTTACTCAGATTTTCTATTTCCAGCATTCCCTCTGTTTGTGTCTTCTTCATTTTTTCTATTTCCCTTTTCAGGTCTTGGATTGTTTCCTTCATCTGTTTCATTGCTTTTTCATGATTTTTTTTCAGGGCTTTATTGTTTTCTTCTGCTTTATTTGTCCTTTCCTCTAGTTTTTTATAGCATTCTTCCCATTTTTTGTTTGTCTTTTCCTCAATTTCGTTTGTGATTCCTTCTACATAAGCCTCTACCCTCTTCATGATGTTGTTCATAAGGCTGGTTTCTTCTGCTTCTTCCATTTTTTGATGTTCAGGTCTAGCTGTTGGAGGAGGGCTAGGTTCTGGTGATGCTGTATTGCTCTCCATTTTGTTGTATGTACTTCTGCCTTGACGTCTGCCCATCTCCTTGTGGATTCGTTCTTGGTCTTATCAGCACACTTGGTCTAGACAGAGCTGACAGATTCAGGAAGCCTCTCTCTCTTGTCCAGATGGGAGCTCTGGGGCAGGATGGGAGCTCTTGTCCAGATGGGAGGTCCGGGCAGGATGGGAGCTGGGGGCTGGTCTCTAAATCTCAGGAAGTGGCTGGGGTCTCAGGCGGATGGGCGTGGGGGCAGGGCGTGGAGATTGCAGGATCTGCCGGGGGTCTTGGAGAAGGGGAGCCTTCCCAGTGGGAGTGGATGGGATCCTGCCCGATGGCCTAAACCTGGGGCCAAGTTGGGCAGGTCTTCCCTGGAATGACTGGTGCCAAGGGATGGGATCTAGGCTGAGCCCAGGCACTCACCTCTTGTCCAGATGGGAGGTCCGGGGCAGGATCTCCCCCATTTTTTAATAGTAGTTTTTCTGAGTATAATAGTTTAGTTGCCATTTTTTTTCTTTTAGGACTTTAAATACACCGTCCCATTTTCTTCTAATGTACAAGGTTTCTTTCAACCAGTCCATTTCTCAGATTCCCTCACAAGTGCCCTTTTCTCATTCTTTGTCTCATACTTTTTATGTTATTCTATACAAACATTGATCAATCACCCTTTAACCACTCCCCTTTCCAGTATCTACTAATCAACATTCCATTTTCAGTTCAAGCTTTTTCAACTTCCCCATGACAAAATGTTTGCCTTTTGTGTCTGGCTTCTTTCACTGAATGCCATCCCGCCCCACTTCTGCAACAGACAGGACTTCATTGCCTGTGGCTGAGCAGCACTGCGTTCTGTAGAGATGCACATTTTCTTTACCCATCTTCTGCCAGTGGGCACGGGGGTCGATTCTGTAGCTTTGCTGTTGTGAATAGCATCATAATAAACAGGGCTCTCTCTCTAATCTGCTGGTCTTCCTGCCCATAGTTAATTGACCATACGGTAGACTCCTTTCTTAAGGGGACAGCCATGTTTTTCTCCATAATGTGTGTACTAACTTAAACTTCCCTTAACAGTGTGTGAGTTGATTTTTCTACTTCTTTGTCAGCGTTTTTCTTAGTAGTAACTCTAGGCTTTATGAACTGATTTCTCATTGTTGTAGTGACTTGTAAATCCCTGGTGGCTGAAGTAGGTTATGCTTGTTTGTTGGTTTGTTTTTGGTCATCAATTTTGAGGTTGGCTTTTTTTTTTTAACATATTCTGCACCCTCAGTTAGGTGAATAAGTAAATATTTTCTCCATTTTGTAGGCTGTCTCTTCACGCTGTTAATTGTCTCTCTGTACAGAATATTTTAGTTTGATATGACCTTACTCATCAGTATTTGTGTTTACTTCTCTATTTGGGCTCCTAATGAGAAAATCATGGTCTGTAGCCCACGTCCTATGATGTCTCCCCCATATTTTCTTCAAGTACGTTAGGTATCACATTTCCCCCTTTGTTTTGGTTTTGGTTTGGTTTGAGACAGGGTTTCTCTGTGTAGTCCAGGCTGTTCTGGAACTCACTCTGTAGACCAGGCTGGCCTCAAACTCACAGAAATCCTCCTGTCTCTGCCTCCCAAGTGCTGGGATTAAAGGTGTGCACCACCACCCAGCTTACATTTAGGTTTTTGATCCCTCTTGACTGGACTTTTGTACATGGAAAGAGATGGGGTCAAGTTTCTACTGTCTGCCTCTGGATGTCCAGTCTTGCCAGCAGCACTTACTGAAGAGGAGGCACTTTCCCCATTGTATTGTTTATTTAAAAACAAATAAAAAACTTTTGTAAAAAACCAGTTGGATCCCTTTTTTCTTCCTTTGGTTTCTATAGAATATTTTATTACAACTTTCTGCTGTCCTGGCTGCTCTGAATCTTTTAGTCCGTTTCATTCTAGTTCAATGGGTTACTGCATTGATAATGTTTGATCCTTTCAATCTGTTTTGGAGATCTGCCATTTTAGTGGGATTTGTACTTGACACAGTAGTTCCTTTCTTCCACTTGAGAGAAGAGCCAAGGGAGAAGCACAGGGCCCCACCAAGGCAGAGGGAACCACTGTGGCAGTGGTGGGGAGGGTGGCACAGGAACTGCATTGGCATCTGTCTTCATTCTCAGCACTACATAAAATCCTCAAGTGGGGGGCCACACCCCTGGTCTAAAAGGGTAAAGCCGTTCTTGAGGACAGTGCCATCCATTCCTATGTCACAACACCCAGAAAGACTTGGGTCACTTTACTTAGCCAGGTTTAGGGCCTCAGATAGAATATATAGCGGCTTGTGAATATACAGAGCTGTCTACATTCAGAGTAGGCAAGTCTTAAGATGGCTGCTGGCTGTAAGGCCCTGGCTTACTATGAGTGAGTAAATTCTTTTTCCAAAGCAAAACCGCTGAGACAATCTCTGGTTAATTACCCAGGTTGACAGCAGGCCATCAGAATGGTGACATCAGTTTCTGGGATGACAGGTATCACACTAATGAAGTTTGCTGGGACATTTCCCTCACCACTGCAGAGAGGGATGACCCCTGCTCCTGTAAGGTGCACACTTCGGGATATTGTGCCCTCCTCCTGTGCTGTCCCAGATTTCTGGACCCCACAGAGCTCCCACATTCTCCATGGCCACTCACCTCACAGTGCAGTTGCTACTTCCTCTGGTGGGGAGGAAGCCAGCCAGTGCCTGGCATCACCGCCAGCTGTTTTGAGTGCAGTCGTCTGCCCCACACGTCCCTGATGCTGGTCTTTTTTTTTTAGTTTGACTGTACTTATTTCTTGAAGCTGCATGGGTTTACCCAAGATTTAGGAAGTTTTGAGCACTATTTAGTTGTGTATGTTTTGTGTGTTTTCTCCCATCTGGTATTTGTTCTGGAACTCCAGTAATGTAAAATCTGCTAAGTTAACAGACTCTCTCGTAAGTCTTCATGACATTCTTCATTTCCTTTTCAACTGAGATGTGTAAAAGGATCTGCCTTCAAGTTCGAATTTTTCTGTCTGATCAGTTAGGACGTTGAAACTCTCTATACTTTCCCTCTGTTTAAGTGCGTTAGTGACACTAATGGTGTAATACATTTATGGGTTTTCTTCACTTACCTAACTGGGGTGGCTCCGGTGGCCGGAGAGCGGAAAAGCTTCCTGAGTACCAGAGCAGGGACGGGGACGGCACACAGACGATACCCCTTAACTTTTATTTTCTCAAGATCAGGCAGAAGTGGAGTGTAGCTGAGGAGCCCCAACTACTCTCCAGCTCAGGGCAGAGCCCCGTGAAAGTGGTAGCTGCCTGGGATACACTGGCTAGCTCAGCCACAGAGACATCATTTTCCTTGCTAACAAGGCAGCCTCTCCTGCTTCTGGTCTTCTGTGGGCAGGTGTGGGCCCAAGCATAGCTACACATGCCAGATTTGACCAATTCACAAGCTTGCAAATGAGAAGTGGTTGAGGGGCCATTCCGTGGCCCAGGCATTGTTATTGATAAGTATTTTTGTATCCCCAGTAGTGGGTTTCTCCAATGCAATAAGCCAGATAACACCAAATTAAAAGTCCAGGTTTAATGAGCAGTGTGTCCCTGGGCGACTCTCAAGCCCCCCAGAAGTGAGGCGGGGAGGGAAGAGGCGAAATCAAGTGGCAGACCTAGGGACCAAGCTTAAAGACCCTGTAGCAGCTCCAGGGGAGGAGCCACCACTTGGCGGGCTTTCTGAGAGGGAGGAGGAGGGGGGCTGAGGCAGAGCTTCCAAAGGAGCAGTTATCTCCATTTATGTCCCACGTGCCTCGGATATTCATTTCATGCTAGACAGTTGGCTAACTTTATTTAGCATGAAGATACTGGTTGACGGGTGACAGGAACACACCTGATAACTTGACTAAACTATTATGCCACGGTTTCCTGGCAGAATTCCTGAGCACTGCTGCCTATCTTTGCACCAGGGTTAGGCCGCAGAGGAGGCGGGGATCTGGAAATGAGGCCCCGGATCATGCTCTCTGTGTCTGTGTTGCAGCTGGTGAGCGACCTGCTGGAATTCTGCTTCTATACCTTCCGGGAGTCCCAGGCTCTGAAGGTGGAGTTTCCCGCCATGCTGGTGGAGATCATCACTGACCAGCTGCCAAAGGTGGAGTCCGGGAACGCCACGCCCCTTTACTTTCACAGGAAGTGAGGAGGACGTCAGCCAGGAAGAACTTTGCCTTAAGTCTCCCCGCATTGTTCTGCACCGACGAAGGACCGAGAACTCGCAGTTGGAACATGTGGTGGTTGATTCGCACTTGTTCAGCAGTTTCTCAAGTTTAAAATCACATCAAGGGTCTGGAGCCGGGAAAGCCATGAGACGTGGATTTGGCAAGGCCTGAGCTGGCTAAAAAGGACTCTTCCCTCTCCACTCCCAGCGCTTAGAAAACACGTTCCCGTTCCTCTGGATGAAAAGCCATATCTAGTCAATAACTCTGATTTTGATATTTTAACAGATGGAAGTTTTAACTATGCCATGTAGTTTCTGGTATCTCCCGCTTGTTTTCAAAGGGTTCGAGGACTAGAGAACTTTTTAAGCTTACCCTTGGTTTGCACATAAAACGTCTAGTCAATATGGGGCATTAATATTCTTTTGTTATTTAAAAATACAAAAAACAAAAAATACATACAGATTCCTGATGTGTAATAACAGAACACGTGGCGTGGAACTGCGGCCTTCCGGGGCACGTTTTTTCTGCATCGCTGGCATACACACTCGTTAGCGTCCATTTATTATTTAATTAGAATGGATAAGATGTTAAATGCCTTGGTTTCAATTTCTAGTATCTATTGTGTTGGCTTTACAAATAATTTTTGCAGTCTTTTGCTGTGCTGTACATTACTGTATGTATAAATCGTGAAGGACCTGAAATAAGGTGTAAGGAACTTTTGTAAATGAGACACATACAAAAAAATCTTTAATGGTTAATAGGATGAATGGGAAAGTATTTTTGAAAGAATTCTATTTTGCTGGAGACTATTTAAGTACTATCTTTGTCTAAACAAGGTAAAACTTTTTTTTGTAACGTGAGATGCTCTGCATGCGTACTGAACCGTTTACAGTGTATTTAAGAAAGGGAAAGCTGTGCCTTTTTTTAGCTTCATATCTAATTTACCATTTTACAGTCTCTGTTGTAAATAACCACACTTAAACCTCTTTGGTTGTCTCTAAGCCTTTCTACTTTTTCTGTAGTATCTGTTTTGTTCTTGGTCTCCCGGGTGGGGTGTTGGGAGACTCCAGCGCCCTGTTCTGGCTTCTGCTTCTTCCTGCTTCCATCGGGGATCACACTGCAGTGTCTGCAGCTCCTGGCAGGTGTCACTTGACAGGGCCCACTGGACCGAGGTCCTGGGAGTGCTGTCTTCCCCCATTTCCACGAGAAGCAGAACCCACTCTTAGAAGAGGAGACTTCAAACTCAGCTCAGAGAGCACAATTATTCCATATCAGAAAATCCAAGTTTCTCCTCTGGGGGAAAAATTCCATGCACTCTCCGCATTTGTCAAAGATCAGAAGTCACCTCTGGCCTTGGACAGGGTTCTTTACTCCTGGAGCTGGTCATGGGAACAGCAATCATAGCAGGAGGTACTGGGGCAATCCATCTGGGTAAGAGTCAATCAGAAGGGCGTGGAGACCCGCAGATCACTAGAAGGTTTTTAGATTTTTTTTTTAAGGTAGGTTTTAAAAATGAAAATTTTATACACAAACAGTTTTGGAGGAAAAAAACCACAAAAACACTACAGATCATATAAGCAAGACAGTGACACTAAAATTTTAATTCATTAATCTGTCCAATACTGATGCAATTTATGGCTTTTCTTCTGCCCCAAATCACGAACATGTGTATCTCTGGGGAACTACAATATGATTGCACTAAATAATCTTTAAATAGAGGCCAAATTAATCTTTCAAATGTAGTGATGACTCTCATCTGTACTCAGTGAAATCACACAAATTCCCAAAACCTAAAATTCGTAGCTCAAGCAGAAGGCCAGGACAAGGCTCAGGTGGGTCAGCACTTTCCCACAGGGTTCACCATGCAGGCAACATTACCTTGTCTTTCAAAAGATGCCTGCCTTCTGCAAGGGGAAACCTAGGAAGGCTGAACTCAGAGGGAGGGGCTTTCTTACATAATTTGCGATTTCCAGAATTTAATTTATAGGCAGATCTTTAAATGCAGCCAGCTTACAGCACAGCAATATGAAAGCCACGCCTCGAAGGTGATGAACACACACTATGCAGACAAGGTGTCTGGGGGAGGAGTTGAGTTAACGCTTTATGATTGGGATTCCATCCTAGCCAGGACTGTGGAGAACATCTGCTTTTTGTATTAACGAAGTTACTGGCTCCTCATGTGTCTCCAGGTAACTCTGCTTAACTAAACAGCGAAGCCATATTCTCTAAATTCACTGTTGAATGCCTGTCCCAGGCCAAACTGTCTGTCTGCTCTTATTTTTGTACCATATTGCTCTTAAAAATCTTGGTTTGGTACAATTCATAATTCACCAAAACTTCTTCATATAATTAAAACACTAAATTAGTTTAAAATGAAGCAATTTATATCTTTATGCAAAAACATGTCTGTCTTTGCAAAGGACTGTAAGCAGATTACAATAAATCCTTTACTTAAATCACCTGTTGTTCTGGAAACTTCATTGGAATGCCTAGAGCTACACCTAGACTTCCTGCCTTCCTACATCCTGATCCTGTGCCCTTCAGCCCGCAGCCAACACTGGAACCACTGGAGTTCTCTCTGAGGCTAGAAAGAGTCCTGTTGGCTGTCACATGATCAGCCTTCTCTTTGGGGACTGATTAGTCATCCCAGTTCTGTGGCTAAAACTCAGTTCACTAAACTCTCCCATAACAGTATAATCACATGGCCACATGTATACACATAAGCATGGCCTGCATCTCTACACCCACAGCACTGCGAGACTCACTTGAGTAGACCAGGCCAGCTGAATGCAGACTTCCCCGTGTGCTTTTGCTGTCTCCCTCAGGTACCTGCAAACCCTGACGGTTACCCATTCTTTATGGGACTCCCCCCTTGACTCTCATGAACATGGACCACAAAAATGCAATTACTAGTTCATTTTAAAATAGGAAACATTTCCTCATAGATAAATTCAAGTAATGTGTCATTTAGTGGGTGAGTGTTGACTGGCTTTCAGAAAGGGAAGCCGGGGTGATAGACAAATTTAACATTGCTTAAGCACAACAGATAAAATTCTAGCACACATAGTGTGGTCACTGACCACAGCCCAGGAGGAGAGCTGTATGCACACAGAGTAGGTGGTAAACATCTGTATGTGAAAGCAAATTTATATGCAAATATTTTATGAAATTTGACCTGTTGAGGAGCAAAGCTTCTCACAGCCTCAAATTTGAAACGAAAGTAGTCTAGCACTGGAGCCTGCCAAGAGGTCCTACCCATGAGCACTCTGGAGAGAGCAGGTGGCCTACAGAACTGAGGAGGCGATTCTTGGGGCAAGTGTGCCTTTATTTTGCTTTTAAGAATTTCACAAAGCAACTCTTGGGCCGAAAGAATTCAATTCCCCATCAGGAATCTCTAGGTGAGAACTGCCAGGGCAGCCAGCGACTACTGTCGGCACGGCATTAATATCCGTGCAATGTGTTGCATATAGACTAAGAGGATTACTGCTTGTGTATGTTGAATGCCCCCCAAAGCAAAGAGGAGACATTTTCTCACAAAAAGCACTAGCATGCCTTTTGATAAGTGATGCACGTGTTTGCAGGTTAAGACGACTATAGGTATACCTAACCTATAGTTAGCTCCAGCCACCCAATTCTTAGTGCAGCATGGGAATAAAACAGTAGTTTCCCAAACAGCATTAAATAGAAGAACATTAAGATAGGACTCAGACGTTTGGCATGAGCCAAGGCTGTCCAAAGCCAAGGGCAGAATTACTGCACAACAGAGCAGCCCGCTAGTTCGCCAGTCTCTCTCCAGAGTCTGTGAACTGCCCAGGGAGTCTGCTGATTAGGACCAGACTTGGCTAAGTTGGATTCCCTCATGCATCTGTGTTTAGCCTGTAATAGCTTTGCTACATGAACAACACACACTTACCACCCAGCACATAGCGGAAAGGGCTAATGCTTTTTTTTTTTTTTTTTTTTTTTGGTTTTTTGAGACAAGGTTTCTCTGTGTAGATTTGGTGCCTGTCCTGGATCTTGCTCTGTAGACCAGGCTGGCCTCGAACTCACAGAGAGTGCTGGGATTAAAGGTGTCTCCGCCGCCCGGCTGGGCTAATGCTTTCTAAGCCTTGGTCCTTCAGACTTGTGCCTGTCCCATTGACTAAAGTGAGTTCTAGGGTCAAGCCCACAGTCAAACTGGGAGAGCTCTTGACAGAAGAGGCTGGTTCCAAGAGGGGGTGAAAGACTATGTCACTACAGCGCTCAGTTATTCAGACACTCTGCAGAACATGTGTTACCAAGACTGATTCCCAAGTTTCTCCCGGGTCAACAAAACCTGTCTCTGTAGCTTTACAGAGGAGTTTTATTCATGCCCTCACGAGCCAGACTCAGTTGGGTCTGAGCAAGCTGTTCCCACTCCACTTGCAGCATTTTAATAGACACTAGCTTTCCAAGGAAGAAATCCATCACCAACATGTGGCGCTGAGCTGTCCAGCTTCATCCCACACACATCCGTGGTCCAAGTTCAATGTGCAGGTCTCATGTTGGACAGTCATCAGCTGTGCTCATCTTCAGATAGAAAGATTCAAGAATATTCTTCTAGCAGGTAGACTGAGACACTTTTAGCCAGACATTTAGCATTAGAAGAATAAGCTGTGCTCCCCAAATGTGGTAGCAGTAAACCACTGCTTAGAATAGCCAAGGAAAGCCGTGTGGTGGTGGCGCACGCCTTTAATCCCAGCACTCAGGAGGCAGAGCCAGGTGGATCTCTGTGAGTTCGAGGCCAGCCTGGTCTACAAAGCGAGTTCCAGGAAAGGCTCCAAAGCTACACAGAGAAACTCGAAAAACCAAAAAAATAAAATAATAAAAAAATAGCCGAGGAAAAGCAAGCTGAAAATCATCTGCTTTGACACTTACAGGGCAGAGAGAAGACAGTCCTGCAATATCATCCTCATAGGAATGGAGAAGCTGTGTGGCTGAAGAAGATTCAAGGTGTCATTCAAGATTCAGAGGCTGGCTCTGAGAGACGTGAGAAGCCAAGGATGAGAATGCACTCAGCATGAGGTGGACGGGAAGTGAAGACAAGCCAGGATTAGAGGCAGAGACCTTGGGAAGGGTGTAGGCATGGCAGTGACAGCCAGAGAACAAGGGCAAAGAATGGCCTTCGCAGAGGATGGCAGAGGGGTGTGTGTGTGATGTGTTAGTGCTGTCCCTGTGGGCAGAGTATTTCATATTATCAACATTTAAAAGAGAAGGCTGGCTTAAAGCTCACAGTTTCTGCGGTCTCAGTCTGTGGTTAGCCAACTCTGGTTTGGGGACTATGAGAGGGTGTGGCCTCAAAGCAGCGGTATGAAGGAAAGCAAAGCTGCTCGCCCTACAATGTCCAGGCAGCAAAGAGCGATGACAGAGGGCCCTCATCCTTTAGGGCACGTCCAGACTGTCTGATAAGTGCCACCACCTCCCAGGAGTGCCTGCGGCTGGGGACCAAGCCTTCAACACATGGAACTTTGACAGACTCCCAAGATCCAAATGATGGCAGTGGCTAGAAAACACAAACCCCCAGAGTGCCTCTGCCTCCCACTCTCCACTCACTAGCGTCCCTGCTGTGCACACTGGACACGGAATACATTCTCTAAAGGTCCCAACAGCACTTCGTGTCTCCCTTCCACAGATGGAAACCCACGCATTAAAGACTCCTGCAGGGCCTCTGCGCCAACAAAGGCTGAAGACTAGTCTTAGTAGTGCGGCTGAGGCTGCTGGATGGGAGAGATGCAGCCGGTGTCAAGTTCGGAGTGAAGCATGTATGCCAGCAGCCAGCCTCCTGGAGATGTTCCGAGGATTAGCCACACCCATCTAACAAGACACATGCCTTCTCAGGAGATCGGAAGTGATGCCCAGGTGTAACCCTACACCCCTGCTCCCATTACCGTGCAGAGTTTGGGCCCTGCCCAAAGCTAAGTTCTCTGCCCCACCCTGAGGTGATGGTAAGTTGCGCCAAGCTGCTCCTGGGCCATATTCTGATAGAAACACCCTTGACTTTCCTCTGGCTCTGGGAGGAGAGCATTTCTTGCTTTCCCCTAGATAAACACAGGCCTGCAGCTCTCGGGGCCACAGGAAGCCTCTTTAGCCACACTACTCTGGGGCCTTGCTGCTGGCCCACTGGTATCCACGGCACAGAGAGGACACGGGTAACCAATGTGCAAGCAATTGTAATGAAGGCACCAGCAGCCCCCGTCATACTTCACACTTCGCTTTTCCTATTGGGAAGCAAGGGCAGAATCGTGGGGACAGCCGGACTTGTGGGGGCTGACATAATCAAATGCTAAGGCACAGGGAGGGGTGGACCACACTCTGGGCAGGTGAACCTTCAAGCCGGCCAACAGTCTCGCTGCAGTGAGTTGTGTCTAGTGCCCGCTCTGCTCATCCCATGAGGAGCACCACCAGGCGTCAGTCTCTTCACGCTGAGTCACCATACCTACCCATATGCACACCTTTTCTACGGGCACATTCATTAAGTCACACCAGGAAATGACAGCTCAAAACACAGGACACCAAAGGTTCTGACCCTTCCTCCAGGGCCAGGCTGCCCACTCAAACTTCAAGATAGCCACTACAGTGCAGCCCTGGGGCCTCAGTACTCTCAATTCTTCCCTCAGGACCTATGGCTTGGTATTTTAACTGATACTGTAAGGAAAAGGTCCTTACTCTTTTAAAGAATACATACTTCCAAAAAGCACATTCTTCCCATCCTCATGGGACTCCTGCTATTCAGCTCTCTGAAGTGATCAACTTTTGAAGGTTTATTTTGGCTCCCAGTCCTGGAGGTGGCACTTCACGACAGATGAGCTTTGGATCTGTGGCACAACATGACTTCAGGAGAGAAAGGTAGAGACTGGTGTCCCATCAACCCCGATAGGCACATCCCAAGGACCTGAAACCTCCCACAAGACTCCCTTTTCAAACTTTCAATCTCCTTCAAACAGTGGCACAAGCTGGGGACAAGACCTTTAGCACATGGGCCTTTGGGGGACATTCCAGATCCAAACTTGATGCCCTTACACATGCCCACGCGAGGTGAGTCCACAGCTGTTAGCCGGCAGCGCAGCAGGCTCCAGAGTCAGTCTGGGAGACAAGGCAACATCCTGCTTTTGACAAATCCTTAAGAGAAAATTCAGGCAGGTTCAGGACCCTCATGTGGGTTGGATGTCAGCAGCCCACCTCCTGGAGTCCCTCCGATGCAGAGCTAGCCATTCGTCCCCACAGGACTTGGCCAGGCCTGGGCCTGGACTTGGGGCCGAGGAGAATGGGAGAGAGCAGGGTATCCCATGCTAGGAAAGCTGTCAGCCCACCCTTCCCACAGCCTGGCTTCATCAAGATGGGGACATTCAATGCTGAGACCTAGAAGGCAAGGCCGTGTTGGGTGGTATGAGAGAGATGTGTCCAAAGAAGCCAGGCAGGAGGGCTGGCCATCAGTATGGGT